CTGAGGAAGTGGGGGAACATAAAACAGGTTTCTCAAAGGTATATCTGCAGCACTTCCATTGCAGAAAACACCAAACAAAACAGCTCCAGATCTGTGAGACAGTCTGACCTAAGGAAAGACTCCTGGTACTAGATGTTTACTTCTTCCCTGGAGTTCACCAGATTTTCTTCACATGAAGAATCTTGTTTATTTTTCACTACAAGGTAATGGTTTTCCCAAATAAGTATAAAGTCTCTGAATAGCATTAAGATTTTAACTTTGTAGATAACTTTTGGCAATAATTTCCATGGGATATTTGAATCATGTATAGTGAGCATTTTAGGAAGTAACAATAGAAGTAAGATTTTAAACTGCCTAATGAAGTGGTAAAGACAGGGCTTTCATGAGAAGGTTGAGAGTTTTTATCAGAAACAGAGGTAGTTTCTTCAAGATGTTGTGATCACAAAGTCAGTAATTGCTTATTTGAACTGAGGATCAGTTCAGGGCTTTTTTAGGTAAGTTAACCTCCAATAATTTGTGTAGTACAAGCATCACTGCCATCTGAGTTTATAATAAAAATTCTTAGGTCATAAAATATATTGTCCAAACAAAATATAATTTTGATAATACATTGATAAAGTGTTTGAAACTTCAGCTATACAAATAAACAGGAAATCTCCCTGTAGACAGCTGTTTTTCTGGAGCAGTTAAAGCATGCTCACTCCTTGTGGGCACTTGCGCTTTCATCTTTAATTAGTGCTGCAATTACTAATCAGAAGTTGTTACATTTCATGTTAACTCTTTCTCATTAAATAAACACATTTTGAATGCTTAAGCCATCTCTCCCAGATAGTTGAGTTCCACAGACATGCTTGTACTTTATCTTTAGCTGTATATGAATATGACATAATATCCACACATTTTTGCAAAAAAAAAAATAAAGAAGCATTCCTCAAATGAGTAACAATATTACAAGAAATGAAATATCACAATCATCTTTTATAATGGTTTACTGAAGTGTCAAGTGTAATTTTTGCATGAAAGAATCTTTTTTTGTCAGAAAAAAACATAAAAAAAGGCTTTTTGTATGCCAAAGCTAACGACTTTGATTTTTTTTGTACAAATTTCAATTAAGCATGTATGTATGTATGTATGTAAAATTCTCATCAATTCATGAGTGCACTGTAAATCTAGAGTGCACTTGGCACTGGATAATGACTGCTCAGGTTTGATGGGAGGTTCTAAGTTGCCTTTTACATACTAAAAGTATAGGTGTCTAACACTGCACATTTGATTGCAGGGCCTTTCCTCACACATGTCTCTATTCTTCCTCCTGAGTACACTGAATGTCTCCAAATGAAGTAAGGTCAATACAGGCCATTCAATAAGATCTAAAGTATGTTTGAATGGCACATTTGTATGGATTTATGAAATAAATGGATCCTATGAAAAGCCAATATTTATTTCTAGCCCTCTGGGTTTGTTTGTAAAATTTAGTTCATTTGGCAGCAAAGCCAATAAGAACAATTTCTAGAGCAAAAATATTGAAGTAGTTCAATGTTCAAAGGACAGCAATTTATTTTATGAAAGATTTCAGTGTTTCTGTCATTCTGTGCTTGAAATAAGTTAGATGGTAATACTTAGGTTCTGCTTGACTTTGTATTGGTAACTTCTCAGCTATTAGTCTATGAAGTTTTGAATGATATTCAAGCTATATGTGGAGCCAGAGGACTGTCCAAAAGAATGAATGTAACAGGAAAGACTTAAGGTTGTTTAGTCCAGAATTCAAAAGACAGATTGCCAACAATCTAAAATTATACAAAAGTTTTTCAAGGGAATGCAAAGGAATGGTCTGTTCTTTCAATGACAGAGGATAGGACAAGATGGAACAGATTTAAGTTGTCATAGAATTAGTTTACTCAACATGCAAAGCTTTCTTATATTAAGTGTAGACAAGCTCCGTAACAGATTTGATTATGAGAGTGAATATCGCTAGAGATCTTGAAATAAAAGACATAAATAAATAGGTAAAGAAGAGTCTGTCTTCAGAAAGGGCTAAAATGAGCTCTGGAAGTCTGGCCTATTTCCACACCTGTATTCTTTTATTCCTTAGAGTATTGGATAGATTAGACTACCACTTAGCAATAGATACTTGACAAACTGAAGATTAAATCAGAATTTGGCTGTCAGGATACAAGATGAAAAGGCATTAGCTTTTCATATCAACTGGATGATGCAGTCCTTCATAAGGACCATTTAAGGAGGTAAAAATAACATGAAACTTGCAGGCTAGTGACTAGGTTCTGATCTTCTAAATATACCAGTTAGTCACTTTCTTGTGTTCTCCTAATACTGTATTGCAGTTGTCTATACTTAACCCTGATAAACACAATGATGTAGTAATGCTTTTATTGAAAGTGGTGAATCCTCATATGTCTAATGAAATATTTCTAAATTTTCTAAATATTAGATAAAATCTAAAATCTAAATATTACATAAAAATAATATTCTAATCACTTCTATTTTGCATGGTAATTATATTTTTTTCATAAAAACATTCAGCAATATAAATGAAACTGCATGAATCTTGTTTTCTAAGTAACTTCTTTATGAAAGCAACAATATACATAAAACCTAGGAACCTGGGTGTTCCTGTGTAAGTAGTTGTATATCCAGGGGGTGAAGTTGGATACTTTTAAGTGTGCTGAGGTTGCTATTATATTTTTTTTCAAGCAAAATATAAGCAAAACTGTGGCTTTTCTGATTAGAAGGTATGGGCATATTTCTATGTTCAGCCAAAATTTCCCTCCAAGTCATTACAAGAATCCTCTGTACCATTCTTGCCAGACATTCATAAAATTTGTCATTTGGGGAAAAAAGCAGTGAAATGACAGACAATGAGTGCACCACTTTTTGGGAGTCATTGAGCAGTCTCTCACTTAATAGATGAGAAATACATTGTGGTTTGCTAAATACGTGGGAGTCTCTGACTCAGGAAGCCCCTGAGATACAAAAGATACTCATCTGAAGTCAGGTAAATACCTGTGTGAACATCATGGACTGCAGCCAACTCCAGACAAAGAAAATCACCTTAAGACTCTTTTACTATGAGCTAAGTTACCATAAGTCACTTTCCAGTGACTGCAAACAATTGCACAAACAATACCCAGAGTTCAGCTGACAGTTGGTGTCCCGGTGGGATGCTCGAATTTGGCCCATGAACCTGATCCAGAAATGCTAAGTGTTCTATTGGAAACCTATTTGAAGCACTTTGGACATCTATTCAGGGCTTCATTCTGGTGAAAGTTGGCTGCAATTTTAGTGCTATTTCTTGCCATAAAGCTGTGTACATAACTCACTGGGGTACTCTTGAGAATAAGACCTGAAATTATAATTTTTTCAGTTTATTGGCCTGAGATGTTAAACCAATTCCAACCAGGTTTTTCATGATATATTTTTTTTGCTATTTTGACAAATGTTAATTTTAAAGGAAGAAATTATTTGAAAAAGTATTATTTGTGTCCCTTTAAAGTAAATCATACATGCTTAGTTTAAATTTTCCAAGGCACCAAAATGCAGCCAAAACATTTAAATACTATAAAAGTTTACAGGGGCTAAGAATTCAGCTCATCCATGTACTTTTGAAGCCATTCCTGAAAATCAACATTAAGATAGAGTCAAGTAGCATAGCGTGGCTCTTGAAAGGGCAAGAAAAACACATCAAATGCTGTTGATGCTACTGTATTATTCTCCCAGTATTCAATTTCTCATTCCAGGGAAGAGGAAGGAGATAAAGGAGGAGAGAGAATAACAGTCCTGATATAGACCAAATAAAACTGACAACTAGTGAGATCACAGAGAGAAATGTATGTTTTCCTTACATTTTTATTTTCAGTCTTAACTATAACCATATCACAGTCTTGAGCTTTGGCTTATCTCAGCCTTTATTCCTGACATAAATATATTCAGTTCACCTCATAGAGATAACAGGCTCACCCAAGCTGTCAAGATAACTAGAAACCTGCCTGCAGATTTCATATCATTCATCATTAAAGAGCTCTCTGTGATGTTGCCAAAACCAACAGAGCCTGATATGTTTTGAGGCAAGAAAAGAGGAGATTTCCCAAAACCTGTTATCATTGCTCCTTTTCTTAATTAGTCTTTGTCTGGTACAAAACTCAAATATACCCACTTAAAAAATGTTTTGGTGTTTAATTCTATTTCTGATATTTCTCAAGGAATTAGAAAGCAATTTCCAGGAGCAAAGCATACTATAGTGTTTGAGAAGAACTCTCGCACAATTAGAGTATTTTTTTTCTTGAAGAACTTCAAATTACTCAGTGCTGTACAGTCTGTCTCCAAAGGACTAGTACAGAGAGTGTAGTCCAAAAGAGTAGACTCATCTATCTCCAAAGGCTAGCTGCATCTTCTATTACTCTGCAGTGCTTTTCCATGCTAATGGTTTCCCCAGCCTTTAGTAATTCTCCCCCTTCCTCCTTATCAATTTCATTTGCTACGAGTATAGTCCAATATATGGTTTTCCTGTTGATTTGCAGGACTGCTGCAGCAAAATATATTTGAACCTTGTGGAAGGGTTGTATAACAGCAGGCTGACCGTAGTGGGTCGTTGACCTGCCATAGAAGTCAGGGCAGGAAAATAAACAAACCCCTCAGATCCCAGAATAAGCTGCCTGGGAGCAGAGGTATTTCCAGGCAGTTCAGCTACGTGAATGAGTCTGCACTTCAGCACAGATACAACCCACACTCAGGAGCTTCTCACGAGACTCTGGCCTGCCCTGGAAGTAACATACTTTAATTTAGCATGGCCTCTAAAGGGAAAGGTTAACAGTTTTAATTAAGATGAACTATTAGCTTCTTAAGCACAATCTGTCTCCAGATCTATATAGTTAGCTTCAATTTTTATAGAAATGAAAAGTAGTGTCTGATCACCTGTTTTAAGTTTCCAATGATGACTTTTAGGAAGATATCACTAGAGGAATTCAGGGAAGTTTGAAAAATTGACTCCTTAAAGACTTTCCCAACTGGGTCATTTCCAGCTAGCAAAAGAGAATGAGGAGCTAGGTTGGGCATTTGATACAAATGCCATGTGATGGGAACCCATCTTCTGTTAGCAGGTGATAACTTTAGAAGCTCATATATGCCTGAATGTGGCCTGAGCTGGATTCAGAGAGAGTGCCAGTAAGGACAAATAATACCAGTTTAATGATACGATCCAAAATACTGAAAAATTTATGTGCTATAGGATTTTTTCCAGGAAACTTAGAAATCACTGAGAGAGAGTCTCCAAAGATCAGATGTGAATATAAGAAAGGGCCTTTCTTGGTCATACGGTCAACGAACCTAAGAATTCTAATTTAAGCTTTCTGATATAATGTGGTATTCTAGAGATTAAAACATGCCTATATAGAGACTAGGAAGAAGCATCATTTTCCAGAGAAAGTTCTCACTCTTGTGCAGAGCTTTAGGTGTCCATATGGAGAGATAATCTCAGATACTCCTCCTCTGCACTGGAGGGAACAAAAATGAGTCATATACACTATACTTACTGTCAGTCAGATTGACTTGGTGTTTTACACTGTCCCAATATAACTTGTCTGTGTTCTCCCCATCTTGATTCTTCTTTCTTTCCTTCTGCAGTTTGACTCAGTTCACTAAGGACACCAGTTTAAATCTGCCAGATTTAAACAGGTGGTTGCAGGTCTCATCTTTCAGGCATGAGTGAACTGGTCATTACATTAAGTGTGTCTTTATGTATTATGCTCATATAACATAGAAAGTTCAACTATTATAATCATTTCAATAACAGAATCATACCCCTATGTAAAATAATTTATTATAAATCTGGATTCTGATTGTTTTTAAACTTGACTTTTTAATATCTAATTACCTGCATTTTCTGTCTTCTTTTTCTGATTGATTCTTCCACTTCCCACAAACTTATGTTCACCCTCTTAATCTTTTAGTTTCTTCTTCCTTATAGTTAATTTTTTGCTTAAACAATTACATTGACTTATGCTTTCCCCTTTGACATTGTTGCAACAGCTTCAGTGCAGAAGTATACAGACTGATCCCTGAATAATCCCTTCCCTGCTGACAGGAATCTCAGGGTATTTGCACTACCACAATAAAAGTACAGAAAAGTATAGGAGTAATAATAAAAGGAATTTTCACTCAGGATTTACACATCCATGAATTCAACTTCAGCCACAATAGCTTTAGGAAATCAGATTAGATTCCTATCAATGTACCACACATTTTCAGGGTTGTACTTACCTCCAGTCAACATGAGAGCACATTTACACATGCAGTTGTCATTGTCAGCATCTTTTGTACTGAATTCAGCACCATGTAAGATCAGGCTACTCTGTTTTCCAGCAGTTCCACTGTGACCTTTTAAATAAAGCCTGAAAAAGCAAAAGAAACTGTGTCACCAAAAATAAAAACATGAAAAAATTTTTTTAAAAATGGAGATCCAGATTTTTCCACATCAGATTTGCCTTGTATGAAGTGCACTCAGAAAATTCAGGAGTCGCTTGTATTTTGTCTCAATCTCTTTGTTGTTTAAGGTGTAAAAAGGGGGCATTCAGGATTTTTCAATGTATCTGCAGTAGCACATTGTTCTTGCCCCAGAGCAGAACAGAGCTCAAGGAATCTGTACTGGGAAATGCAACGAAGTGGAGGGAGTGAGAGACAGAAGAGTGAGGAGAGATGCCCAGAGATCTGCAACACATTGACAGAATAGCAGTGCTTGAGAAGCCAGTATCTTTACCATGGCACAGAAACAGCACTCCCAGTTAGCAGGAGTCATGTTATTTATTCCAGGGCTTGAAAGAGGATTTTAGCAGTTTCAGATTTTTAAATTCCACCATTTACAGCACAAGCCAGCAACCCAGTTCTGCCAAAGCTGTCTCTGAGTGATGAATGGAGAATAGCTTAGAGTTCAAGCCTCAAAAGCCTTCATAATTTGCAATGCTAAACATCCCTTTGCTTAAGAAGCCTTGTCAACTAGTTGAAACCACAACCATGAGCTAGGAGCCTGTGCTCAGCTCCAGCAAGTAACTGAGCAGTTGTGGTGTTCAATGCTGTAATGCCAACAGCCAAGCATGCCAGCTGTAGTGATGTTGAACAGAACTCTGTCTCAGCAAGGAAACACTGGATTCCTGGGCACATCTGACCTGAGTTCATAATTGAAGTAATGTGCCACAGATGATGTCCACAGGGAAAAAAACACTACTCCCTGTACGTATCTGCCAACATCAGACATGATCACTATGTTCTTGGGTTTTTTCATAAAACATTGCGGGAATAGAAATGTATCCTTTGCCATGATAGCTTCATATGCAGGAAGAAAGAGACAGGATCTCAGTGTCCACTGGAGAAATATGAAGCCATATTCCATACATCTCGGGACCAAGCCTCAGACACTGGAGCAAATGTGAGCAGAAGACACCTGTCTCCCTGAAACACTGTAGGCAGGAATAAATGAGACACAGGACTAGCTAAGAATATGATTTGGTATATAATGGGATAGACTTCTCCAGTAAAGATGAGAAACATCAGTTCTGTTTCTTTTAGGGTTATTGAGGTGGAGCAAGTATATCTTTTAAATATCATATGCAAAATACTTAAGGAGTCAGGAGAGCCCAAGAAGGACTTTAGTGTGTAAAGAAGGAGAGATGTCTGCTTCTCTCTGCAATTTACAGCCGGGACTGCTAACCTACAAAATGTTTTCCCAACTTCTCTCACCAACACAGTGAACAAGGAGAGCAGTTATGAGTCACTGACTGTTGCTACCTCTTAGATTCTTGTCATATTTTAACCAGCTACTTTGGATGAATGAAAAGGTAAATGTCTTTATCAGAGTGTCATTCATCCATTTGTTTAGCTGGAAGACAGATACTATTGCAAAGTGCTCACAGTGTTAACAGCAGGACTAGAGAACATCCCTAACCCATTCTAACCTGCAGTAATAATTAAGCCATTGGCATTTTTCTGAGCTGAGGAGAGTCTGTCCCCCAGACTGAGATTTAAACAAACTCTGGTTCTTTCACAGAATTTTGGGGTTATAATTCCTCTTATGAGAGCATAGGCACCATATGGCCTATGCTCTGTGCATGGCTGCTGCTTTTTTGTTGGTTTGGTTTGTTGGTTTGGGGGTTTTTTGCCTTTTTTCCTTTTCTTTTTTTTTTTTTTTTTTTTTTTGTTTTTTTTTTTTTTTTTTTTTTTTTTTTTTTTTTTTTTGGTTTTATTTATTTGTTTGTTTTGATTTTGTTTTGCTTTGGGTTTTTTTTTTCTTTCATGCATCTGTGGGTGGATATTAGGTTCAAACAATGACAACCAGATTAAAGATGTCATAGAAACTCATAACATAAAAGCCTTTTCTGCATATCAAGTGAGGCTACTGAGTCCTCTCAAAATGTGAAGGTGCAGAACCAGCACATAGCACCCTAGAGAGTTTAAGATTCACACTTGCAGACTGACTTAAACCTCACTTATTTTCAGCAAATTTCTTCCTATGTACCCTTTCTCCATCTTTAAAAATGGAGACAGTGCATGTTAAGCATGAACATTTTAAAATAAAAATACTGAGAAAAGAGAACTGTCAGGGCTATCCTTCCAAAAGAGTTACACTGCCTACATTAATTTGATTTTAATTTTGAATGTTACCTGACTGAGACTGATTAAATACTTTCGGACTTTACCCTTAGAGTAAATTTTATGCAGAGATAACTACACACACAGAAACACACAATTATTTTTTTAATTAAATGCAAATACCACGGATAGTCAAATACCTCTAGATAGTGCAAAACTAGATAAAGCAAAGTGTGAGCCTCAATAAAAGACCGTGAAAATCCTTAGTAATTTAAAAAGGAACAACCTAGGAACATGAATCCAGACAGGTCATTGCACTATGCTATTGTCATAGTGGCAGCTAGCCTGTATGGCCATGTTACTCAGTCAAAGGATGCCTGTTTTAGACAGGATTACTCTAAGATCTGTCTTTGTTTGTGTTCATTTCTTTGTTTCATACAAATGAAAGGCTGGAATGGATCCCATCTTCATTCATTGGATTTTGCGTTGTTCTGCAAGCTGTGCCTAATTTTTTGCAGAACAAAATAAACTTCACTCTGGTTGTGTTGATAGAAAAATTATTTTGTCACATGATATCTACAATCTGATTTTAAATGGCCATACATTCTCATTAAATCAGCATCACAGAAGTCTCATAAAGTCAGTATAAAAATCAAATGCTCTTTTATTAAATAAGAAGGACAAGGTTAGCCAGACTTTTTTATTAACAATCAACACTATAAAACACACTTAGCTCAATTTTAAAAAAAAATCTAAGAAAACAATAAGTAAATAAATAATACTTGGTGTTCAGTGTTTTCCCTAAAGAGGTAGGGCATTAGGATTATTTACATGATCATATACTCACCCTGATATTTTACAATCCACTCATCACAGATTTAGATCTTGCCAGTTATGTTTGACTTTACCTCAACACCATTTGTCTAGTAGTTCTCCAGTGACTTCAAAAGAATAGAGTTTAGCTCAGCTCTGAAATCTAGTAGGCTTACCATACTGCAGCATTGTACGGATAAACCATAGGGTGAAACAATAATTCTATTTATTTGGGCTTTTCTCCCTAAATTGGCATTGCCCAACAGTTAGGAAAAAAAGGCACTTGAAAGTTGATGCTACTTGACACCAAAAGCCATTTCAAATTTACACCAGAAATTTTTCCTTTTGAAGTGATTACATGACCCAGAATTCTTTCAAATATATACAGCCTAGCTATTTTCACAGCATGTTTAAAATGTTTAACAGATAAACTTGGGACAATTCTAAATAAATTACCAAAATATTTGTATAGTTCCTCAAGATCCAGCTATGAAAATTGCAACATACAGAATGAGATATTAAAAAACCCAAGAAATAAATGAAAAACATAAATCCATGTGATTAAATTGTGTGTTAACTATCACTAAAAGTGTAGGAAATAGTTTCTGATGCAATGCTTACATATAGAGCATCTGACCTTAGAATTTGTTCTTAATTTTTTTTACTAGAACTAGTGAGAGATCTGTAGGACTCTCACAATTTAATTTTAGTTATTTTTTTCTCTATTATTGTTTCTGTTAGAATCATTAGAGATCATCCAGTGCTATTATTTAAAGCAGCCCCTCAATGAACTAGCTGAGAAGTCATATCCAGTTTTGTTGATAAGTGATACTTTGTAAACAAAAAAAATATATATTAGCTCATTGAAAACATTAATGGCCATCATTAAGACATGTAGAAAACCATCTCGACTACCTCCATATGCATCTTCTTGAATATCTTATGAATTAAGGTAAGATTCATTTTCACCATTCTAAAAGTACTAAGAATTTGAGCACAGATCTCCATGACTGGATTTCATAAACATGAGTAATAGCCTAATATTCTTAACCATTAAATAGAGAGAAACAGGAGTCTTGCAGTACGATTTAAAAGATTTAGCATGATGAATGGGGGTGGACACATCAAATCTTGCCTTTGGGAAACACTGTAAAGGGATAGCTCCAAATTCCCACCTCTCTTTTGTCTCTCCCTGCAGGCTAAAATGTCCTCTTATTTCATAAACATGAGTAATAGCCTAATATTCTTAACCATTAAATAGAGAGAAACAGGAGTCTTGCAGTACGATTTAAAAGATTTAGCATGATGAATGGGGGTGGACACATCAAATCTTGCCTTTGGGAAACACTGTAAAGGGATAGCTCCAAATTCCCACCTCTCTTTTGTCTCTCCCTGCAGGCTAAAATGTCCTCTTCTCAGGAGGGAATCCCAAATTCTAATCCCTCCTCAAAGGAGTGGTTGTTAATTTTTGATGAAAACAGTCATGAAATTAAAGGGACTCAAGGGGATCAGAATCTATGCCCAGAATTTCCTCTTATGAGTCCTCTCCACACTGGTTTTCCAATTTTTACTAAATTCAACAAGACCAGAAGGCATGTACAGTCTTCGTCCTGCTTCTAACCTACTGGTTACCACTTACACTTGGTGTGTGGGAATACATCTGCCCATACAAGTGGGGAAAAATAAAACCTCACATTGACTGTCCTCCATTTTAGGCATGTGAAAGGCATCTCTGTTTTTAAAACCCATGTGACTGCCATTATTTTGTCCTCTAGTTTGGAAATGTTTCATGTCAAAGAAGGATTTAACTTGCATCTTCCATCTGGTTCATGCTAACATCCCAATTTTAGAGAGCTACAGTTTGTGAAATGAAACCCACTCCTACAGATGCTGAATTTGATAGAGTTTTACGAATTGTTGCGTTAGTCAAATAATTCCATCCATAATGACATTTAGGTGATTAAGTCCCTCTGTGAACCGAGGTCCATGGACTGCA